GAGAGCAAAGTGGCTGAGGTGAAGGTCAGTTTGCTGTAAGGTATCCACTACCTATGGATGCTATATGTATTTATCTGAAAGGTGCCTGAAGGAGGGTTTGTCCTTAATGCAAGTTTCCCCTTTTACATTTCCAGATTCTAACTGCAATTATGCAATTACACAAATTATTGAGGTAGAACATTAAATAGAAATCACTCGAATAACTTTTACTCTTTTTGGTTTTTAGGTAGAGCTCGTAAAAAGTTAGTTCAAATCAAGTTGGAAAAAATAATTAAGTTGGATGGGTAAGGCTTTTATAGAACCAGGAATATATCCAAATACTTACAGTCTACTTGGGAGTCTAAGTTAGAAACATGAAAAAGATTTTAAAAAAATACCTAAAAGTCAAGCTGAATGCAATAAATTTGACATGTTTTGATTTGAATTAAGAAGAGGATTGGTTGAAAGTAAAATTCAGATTGAGCCTTAAACAGTATGACATGAAAAAATTATTTCTATTAAGAAAACAAACTATTTGTTTCTAACTGTCCCACCAGCCACATTCTAAGGACAGCGGATTCAGGTTGTTGGAGATTCTTTTCTTTCCTGGCCTTACACATATTTAAAATGAGGACTGAGGAATCAGTGAGGGAATACAAGATTGCTGTGCATACGAAAGGCAGAAAGAGCTCAGAGGGCAGCTACAGGGGACTCAGAACTGGAACCGGAGCTATAGAGGGCTCTGTGGGGTAAGGGCTGGGAGGCAGAGAGATGTAGTTAGGGTGCCCGGGACATGCAGCGTGCTCTCAGTAAATTCATTTGTGTGTTTAATATTTACTGAGTATCTAGTACGTTCTAGGCACTGTGTTATGTGCTAGAAATATGGCAGGAAAGAAAGAAACGAAGGAAGGAAGCCCTGTTTTCAGGGAGCTGATGTTCTAGCTGTGGGACAGAGATGCTGAACAAACAAACAAATATGTGCATTGGTGTTAAGGAAAATAAGGCAAGGTCAAAAGACAGGAAGAGGCAGGTAAGGTGCTGCTTTAGACAGTGTTTTCAGGGGAGCTGTCTCTGATAAATTGCATTCAAGCAGAATTTTCAAAATATAATTATAACTCTCATGCAAATATAAAATGAAGTAAGATTACTAGATTAGATTTTAAAATGAGAAACGCTCTCTACTGCAATAAGAATAAACTTTGGGGTTATATTTTCCACTGGACAGAAAGATTTGCATCTTCGTTGGACAAAAATATACAAGTTAGCCTGTGACTTCAATGCCCCAAATCTTTAAGAGTCTGAACAGGTGACATTTGTTCAGAGACCTGAGTGATATCAAAAGCAAATAGGTGAGTAGATGAATAGTGAAGAGGGGAAGCATTGAGTGTCAAACTCCCTCCCATCTCTCTCCCACTCCATTCGCTACAAAATATTCCCTTCTCATTGATATTTAGAGGAGTGGGTTCACCTTGGGAAAATGAAAGGAAATAGAGTCCTCTAGGTTGATGAATGGTTATAGAGGATACCCTGGAGCTCAGCACATCTGGACATAAGATCAGGAAGGAAGGAACAGGGTGGGAAGGCCAGCAAAGACTCAGAGGTGAGGGCACTGGGAAAAGGGTGGGCCAGCAAGTAGCTGTGTTGACTGCAGAAGATTTCATGTACTGGTTGAAGAGACTCATCTCTACTTCGCCTGTAAAAGGAAGAAAAACATAGTTATGAACTCTCGACAGATAGTGTGAAAGGCAAGAGAATCCCTCTTCTGTCTTTCAAATCTACATCCTCAGCATGTTCTCCTGCTGTCTCCTGGTGCTTGGGTGGCTGCTGCTGTTACACCCACAGCCATTTCCTTTATCAGGGAGGAAAAGCTTTTCCTAATCCACTGTCTATCCTCCTTCCAACTTCTGCTGCGTCTCACTGGCCAAAACTTGTGACCACCCTAGCGGCAAAGTAGGCTCAGAAAGTGATCTTTTTGATTTCTTAACTCCCTTATGGAAGGTGAACAAGGAAGAAGGGGGCGAGGAGTGGGAAAGGATGTTGGAGCTAGTAAACCTAGAGTATATGGGTTGTATTTCTTTTCTAATTCAGTCTTGAGGTCTCTTTCTGGGAGTGGTTATAAACGTTAGCTCTTCCTTGATGGGGCTTGGATATTTACAGCATGGCTTCCATGGCATACTTCTTTATCCTGGCAGACGGCCTAAATCCTAGGTGTCTGACCCATGACCAGGGGTCCCTCTCACAGGAAGCTTGTTTATATTAGCAGGCACATTTGTGGCTCTTGTCTGCCCCATGTCTGGTTTATTCCAACCAAGATAGTCACTCTCTAGGACAGCCATAACCAGGAAACAACTCAGGTTTGGGTGCATAATCAGGTGAGATACAGAGAAGGTGAACAAAACATATGAAATAACAGAAGCAGTTTCATTACTTACAGATCCATAAGAAGAGGACAGCATGCCTCATAGGGCTGACGGGAAGGGGGACACACATGCTCAACCAGTGGGAGCGGGACGAGACAGAGAGAGGGACTTGTGGGCCAAAGCCTTCACTGTGGTCCTGGGTGTTACCCAATCAGGTTTCTCTTGAAGAATTCTAATTGGCTGGCTTCAAGTTCCCTGACATCCCACTGTGACTAAGAGGTGGTTACTGAGGCATATCTGCAAAGTATATGTGGGATATAGGGGTCAATTGGATGAAGCAAGTAGCTTGTACCTGATGGTTCGATAGGGAGGTGGTCACCAGAGGTGGTCATACAAGGCAGATCTCTGGACTGACCACATAGAGGAAGTGGGAAGAGGCAGAGAACTAGAGACTGTCCAGGGTGACTAAGCCCTGATTCTAGTATGAGAAGGTTAAACCTGTCCTCAGAATGGATAGCGAGGCCTTTGATATGTTCTCCCACCTCTTCATCAAGCATATTGACAAATCCTACTTCACCAACTTGTCTTGCTGTAACCTCCCAGTAGGTTCACCTTGCCCGCTGCCTAGATAGAGCCAATTTATCAGGACAGGAGAATTGCAACAGAGAAAGAATTCACACAGAGCCGGCTGTGTGGGGGCCAGTTTTATTATTACTCAAATCAGTCTCCTCCAGCAGTCAGAGTTTTTAAAGACAATTTGGTGGGTGGGGAGGGGCAGTAAGTCAGGGAGTGCTGATTGGTTGGGTCAGAGATGAGATTATGGGGCTTCACTGTCTTCTTGAGCTGAGTCAGTTCCTGGGTGGGGGTCACAAGATCAGATGGGCCAGTTTATCATCTGGGTAGTGCCAGCTGATCCATCAAGTACAGCATCTGCAAAACACCTCAAGAACGGATCTCAGGAGCAGTTTAGGGAGGGTCAGAATCTTGTGGCCTCCAGCTGCATGACTCCCAAACCATAATATCTAATCTTGTGGCTAATGTTGGTAGTCTAGACCCCAGGCAAGAAGGAGGTTTGTTTTGAGAAAGGGTTTTGTCTTTGTTTCAAACTGTAAATTATAAACTAATTTCCTCCCAAAGTTAGTGCAGCCTACGCCCAGGAATAAACAAGGACAGCATGGAGGTGAAGGACAAGATGGAGTTGGTTAAATTGGATCTCTTTCACTGTCTTAGTCATAATTTTGCAAAGGCAGTTTCATTGCTACCTGAATGATTTTCCTAACTTCTCCATCAATCTCCTGGAAGCCTTTCTCCTTAATCAATTTCTTCAACTCTGCCAGACATGTGGGAGCTTCTTCATCAGCAGATGTGGCCTCTCCAGTTACTTTTATGTTTTTTCAGTCCTCAATCTGTGTAGCTGTCCTTTACTTGCAGTAAATGGCTTGGTGTGCCTAATTTCAGGGGATCCCTTTCTGAAGTCTTCCCATAGGCTCAACACTTTCTGACAAAACACACCGTGGTCAGTTGAAACACGTTTTCTATTCACGTCTCCCACCCACAAATGTAATGCCTTTTCCGTCTTTTGCTGTTGCACTTCAAACTACAAAAGTTACAGCCACAGTGCATGACAGGTGCTTAGTTAACTAGCACGAATCTTTTTCCTTCTTCACAATTTCATGGATAATTTGTTCTTATCATAGATTTTGGCAACCTCAGCATATGATTCTTTTTCTTTCACCTTTTCATTTAAGGAAGCACTTTACGGCTTCTCCTTGGCATATCCAAACTGTCAGCACCACAATTCCTGTGCTTTACGGCCATTATTAAGTAAAATAAGGGTTACCTGAACATAAGCTGGTGTTATCTCTCATTATCGCGGCTGTACTACAGGTGCATCTGTTAACCAAGGCAGCTACTGAGTGGGTAATAGGTGGATACGGGGCTACCTGGGACAAAGAGGTGATTCGCGTCCAGGGTGGGACACAGTGGATGGCCCGAGATTTAATCGGGTTACTTGGAACGCAGGCGGTTTGAAACTTAAGAACTGTTTATTTCTGGAGTTTTCCATTTAACATTTCTGAACCAAGGTTTGACCACAGGTAACTGACACTGCAGAAAGCATGAGGGGTGGGAGACTACTGCATTAATATTAAAATTTTCAAATATTACTTTTTGGTAATTAAGTGTGATTCAGGAGCCTCCCTCTCAAAGATTAAACGAGATCACCAGGACTTCCGCCAACTTCAGCCGCTCTGCACGACTCCGCCCTCGCAGCCTAGCCAATCAAAGCTACAGGTTGAGTGACGTCACTCCGCTGAAAGTCCTTGCTAATTCCCGTACTCCTTTTCTCCGCCCTGCACCTCTACTATTTGTTACAAGTGGCCAGCAGCCATTTTGGATTTGGGCGGAAATGAAAGTAAAACTGTGCTGTTAAAAGCTTAAAAATTCAAGTCAAGACAAACTTGAGCATTCGACAAAAACGTCTAGAAAGGGGACATCTTGGTGGACTAACTAGACCATTAGGGCAGTGAGTGAAAAGCGGGGACGTCACGGCGCCCACACTCAAGATGGCACTGGCCTGAGACTCACCTGTGCGGCCGCTCTACCTCGGTTCCTGGTTCGTTGGCCTCAGCGGTGGCGTCGGAGGGAGGAAGGCGGGCCTTCTGTCCCGTTTCCGGACCCGTCTCTATGGTATGGGAGAAACCCGGCCCCCAGAAGATTGTGGGTGTAGTGGCCACAGCCTTACAGGCAGGCAGGGGTGGTTGGTGTCAACACGGGGGCCAACAGGGGACCAAAGCCAAGACCCTCGGTCTCCTCCCCCGCCGCCCTGCCGCAGGTAACAGGGAGCCCTGCGCTGCGCCCCCAGTCCTTGCAGGACTGCGCCGTGGGGGAAGGGGCCGGGCGGGGGGAGGCGGCGGGCGCGCGCCCCGCTCGCGGGTCTGCGCTGTGGGTCCCGCGCAGGAGCGAGCTCGGCGCGGCGCCGGCTGCCGGTTGAGCTGTGCTCCTCGCTTCGGAGCAGCCTCCCCTTGCTGATCGTGGGTCGCCCTGTAATCTGCGCTTCGCGGGCGACCCCCGCCGGGTGAGGCGCCCGCGGTCAGAGTTCTCCTAGGCAGCCGCGGAGTCGGTCCTCGCGGGGAGGTGTGGAAGAGGTGAGGGGCCAGCGAAGCGAGAGCGGAGTCCCGGCCCCTCAGTGACCCCGCAGGGTCGCGGCGAGCAGGGCGAGGGTGCTCGGCTGGGCGGGTCACTGTCCCGGGGCGGCAGTGCCCGAACCCGGGGGACTCTTGGGGGCGCGCCCGCCCTCGGGAAGGCGGCCTTATTCTTGATCCAAGACCAGTGCCCGGTCCCCCAAGGCCCAGCTGGCTCTTGTCTTGGCGTAGTGCTTTCTGTTTAGAATAAAGATGAAACATTTTTCGGAAGGGCATATTCAGGAATCCATGTGAAATTCTCGGAGTCGGATCTCGAATTTTGGGGGTCACTGTTACTGCTGTTTTAAGGACCCGTGTCCTTATAAAATGTAATATCTTGAGCTGAAATCATGATTATTTTGGTCCATGAAGACATAATTGTGTATTGCTTGTCAACTGGCAATGCTGGACTGAGTTCCGCAGAGGGAATGTATACCTGAAACAGACGAAAGCGAAGGGCCGGAGTAATGTTACCGCTGGGTACCAGAATATCAGCCAGTACAGTGCGTGCTTAATACTCACAGTGCAAGCCATTATCTTCGGAACTTTCAAGCTCAGGGAGCTAGGACCAAGAGAATCTCGATTAATTGCTGGGAAAAGAAACTATTTGGTAGAAACATTTCCCTAGAGCACAAAGGTTTCTTAGTTGAGTGTATGAGTTGCCCTTTGACCTAGACAAGGGTTTTCTTAATCTACAAGCGGTCCAGAAATTTCATGTGCTGACCAAGTAGGCAAAAGAGTGGAGGGAGATTATTAAAGGGAAGCCTATGATGCATATTCAAGTCAAAGACTGTCAACTCGGTGTTTTTTTATAGAGTGGAGATGCTAACTGCTACAAAATATCTATTCTGTGATACTAGGATATACCTTCTTGTGACTTTTTAATTTCAAAGCTAATGAGCAAGATTTTGTGTTTTCCCCCTCCTCAAAACAACAGGAAAGCATGTGGAAGGCCAAGTGTTTTTCTTACATTTCAATAGATCAATTTTTGCTGAAATATCATTTTTAAAGCACTGGCGGGCATGGTGTAATCTCAGCAACTGGGGAGACTGAGGAGGGCGGGTCGCTTGAGACCAGGAGTTCCAGGTTACCCTGAGGTAGGATAGCGCCAATGCCCTCCAGGCCAGCGACTACAGAACGAGACCCTATCTCTTTAAAAAAAAAAAAAAACAAAAAAACAAACAAAAAGAACTGTTCATATAACAGTATTTGTGCCTCTTTAGATGTATTAGTGTGAAGAATTACTGCGTCAAAACATTCTCAAATTGCAATACTCAGCACACCTTTTTAATTTTCCCCCAATAAAGTTTGCACTGGGGACCTAGAATATAATCCTACCACTCTCAGTATTACACTGATGGTACCAGTGGATTTCTGTCAAAGTTAACAGACTTTCAAAACAAGAAAATGGCATCCTTTCCAGTTCTCTCAAGAAATTCAGTCGTCTCTTTTACATTTTTAAGTGATATTTTTTAAAGTCTTAGACCTAAAATACACTAAGAAAAATGAATTTTAACTACTTCCTAACGCTTTTATAACTTTGTTAATTACTTTATAGTGGAATTCATATAAAATCTAAGGTTAATAGCTATTGCAAGGTCAATATTCCCACAAGGAAGTATTTCGCTATTTAGAAATAGCTAAGTAAACTAAATATCCCTTTCTTCTGCCTCTGGTGACTGCCATTCATCTAGCCAGAGCGCTGACCCTGAATCCTGGTGGCAGTCTTACCTCCCGGGAGGACTAATATTAACACTAAATAAACAGCATGATTTCCTGTCAAGAAGATATTCATTTACATACAGTCCCTTATTCTCTGCTTTTCTCTTATTGTGTGTTGATTTTGGAAAGCTGTGTTTTGTGGCTAAGAGAGAGAAGGAGGTCAGACTAGCTTCAGATACTTTCAAAGTAACACTTCTGTAACTCACTCTTCCAGTCTGGCTGGCTTTTCAGGCAGGAGTTGGAGACCAAGTAGAGTTTTCTGCCTATGAAATGGCAATTAGTTTCAAAGAACATAGACCCATTCAAGCTACCTGAGGGAAAGGGGGCTGGTTATAAGCGTGTCAATGGGATGTTAGGGTATCTGGGTGGAACTGGGTTTGAGGCTGGGCTTCTGGTAATCTTGAGATGGATAGTAGCAATGTGCCCCCTAAGTATGACTAAGCTACTGTCCCAGTGTTTGCTTTTTTAAATTTTCCTACCAACGGACTTCCTCCGTGCTTGACAAATTTCTGACTTCATGTGGCTTTGGTTTGCCATAGCTCCAACTCTACCTCATAGCATCCTTCTACCTTCAGCTATGCTTCTAATTGGCAAAAATTGTTCTTAGTTCAAATTCCTGGGGGAGACAATGATCTGGCCAGTTTATCTCTTCACTCAGGCCGTGAGACTGATGACTAATTTGTGAGTTGACCGCCCTTTGGCCCAGGCTAGGTACCTGACAACATTAACTGTGCCCAAGAAAAGATGGCAAGATCAAGTGCTAAGTATGAACCTCCCTACTCAGCAGGCGGTTGTGACCATCTGGCCAGCACTCCATCTCCAGAATCGAGGGATTAACATCATTGCTTTTACTCATGGTCCCACATAAACTTTTTATTTGTAGTCCCAGTAGAAAGGTGAATGTTACCATAGTTGCCATACTTGGCATTTTTTTAGTCCTGTTTTTTGCTTCTCTGTCATTTTTAAGAAAGATACATTGCCAGGTAGGTAAGAATTCAGTGAATTTGTTACAAAGCAGATTTAGTTCTTACTCTCAGAAACAGTTTTAGATTTTGAAAAGCTTCAATTTTAGATAGCTTTAGACTTTATACATGTGTTTCTTATATAACGATGGTTGTGGATGGGTAGGCATTTTAAATTTTGTTCTAGGCATGTGTTTTGAGCAGCATTACATACCTGGTGTAGAAGGTGTTGTATGGAACTTCACCGAAGTGGGGAAAAATTCCAAGTAGAGGGTCGATGTGTAATGATTATTGAGTTTATATTTGTCCAAAGAATACAGATTTTTAAACAAATTTTGAAAGGCCTACATAGAATTATTGGCGTATTTGTAGCAGTTTGCTTTCTACATTGCCAGAGTTAGTAAGAACTCTATTTGCTAATTTTTATATTATGGTAAAGCCACCACTGAAAACTGACTGCCACAGATTTTTCAGACATACATTGTTTGGCCTATATAGGTTTAGAAAACATTTGATCCAACATTGAAAAATATGAAGATTTCCACAAAACTATTCAGGCTGTTGGTTCCTCATGATAAGTGGCATGATCTGACAGTTCTGAAACTGCAGTCCTGGTTGGAACTCTGTGATAGCCACTCTCTTCAGAATGAAAGCCTCTCACAGTAGGTCCCAGGCACGCACAGTAGGTCCCTGTGCCAAGCTGCCAGTATTGCTGGGGCGCTGCGCATTACCTGTTGTCACCCTGTGAGTTTGTATCCCTGTTGTCAAGAAAGATATGTTTATATTGTAGAAGATTTGGAAGGTGCAGGCAAGTGTGTGTGTATACAATTCCCTATAGTGTGACCTTCCACCGCAAACCTCTGTTAATACTTCAACATATATTTTTCAAGTCTGTGTGTATGTATGCATATATTTCTTTTTAAAACAACTTTGAGGTGTAATTGATATAGAATAAATGAAAAAAGTGTACAGTTTTATGTTTTGACGTTTATAATCACCCATTGCCATCATTATAATCAAAATAATGAATATATCCATCTTCCCAAACTTTCCTCATACATCATGATAATCCTGTCTTCCCCCTTGGTCCCTCTAACTGTGCCCCTTCACTAGGCAAGCACTGAAATATTTTGTCGTAGTTGCATTTGAATTCTGTGTATGTGTGGGCTTTTTTTTTTTTTTTTAGTGTTTGAGATTATTTGAGATGATTCAGTTTTGTGGTTTCCCCTTTTTACTTGGGATAGCCTTGAAGAGTAGTGTGATTGTACTTTTTCTTATGTTTATTGTCATCTGTGTTTCTTCAATGAGCTGTTTTCCTTCCCCTTATTGTACTGGTGTTTTAGTGTTTTACTTGGTTTATATGAGCTCTTCATTTGTTAATATGTTTTTCATATTAACAATGTTTTTCAACATATTAACATTAAAACAATGATTTTCATCATTGTTATAAGTATTCTCCAATTTGTATTGTTTTCTTTTATAATTTTAAGTTATTTTAGACATACAGAAGTTTTATTGTTTTTGAATAATAAAGTTTTACAACATTTTCCTTAGGATATACAAGTGAGTTAGGAAGTATGAATTACTTTATTCTATTTTTGATTGCCTTTCCACTCTGAAAGTTTGTATGTGGTGGTGTTTGGGGAGGGACAGTAACTACATGTGACTACTTAGTAATGTGCATTTTCTCTAGAGTTGTTAGTTGTTAATTAACAACCATTGCTGGTAACTTGCTGAGCATTTACCATTTTTACTGTCAAATGTCCTCATTATGAGGATCGAAGAAACTAGTAGTTTGGGGTGGCTATGTCTGAATATCTCTTGTTGATGTTGCAGATAGGGATTTAATGTTTGAAATTGTTTTCTATTTTCTTTTAGATCTGCTTGGCTTTGAGGAAGAGTGGCAGTACTGCCTCACTGCATAAGGGATGGGATCAGAGAACAGTGCTTTAAAGAGCTATACGCTGAAAGAACCACCATTTATCTTACCCTCTGGACTTGCTGTTTATCCCGCTGTACTGCAAGATGGCAAATTTGCTTCAGTTTTTGTGTATAAGAGAGAAAATGAAGACAAGGTTAATAAAGCTGCCAAGGTACCATAATAGGTGACGACTTAATAGTTAGTACTTTTTACTATCTTGTTTTCTTTTAAAAAAATATGAAATTAGTAAAGGTCAAAAGAGGTAAGATGATAAGGAACAGTATTTTATTATTTATGTCCTTTTGAAACATTGCTCTTACTTCGTGGGCCTATCTTGCATTTGCATGACATGGTCAGGTACCGTACTGTAGCCAAAAAACATCATAAAACTCAGTATGATGGCTTTTTGTTTCTTTTTTTGAGACAGAATCTCGCGCTGTCTCCCAGGCTGGAGTGCAGTGGTGCCATCTCGGCTCACTGCAAGCTCCGCCTCCCGGGTTCACGCCACGATGGCTTTTATCATATTTTATTTTTCTGGTGAGAAAGTTAGGGAGACATTTTTATATAACTAATATAAGATATAAGGAGCGATATAAGGAGTTAATCTTGTCTAGCAAAATTCTGTTAAGTATTGACAACATTCTGTAGGCTTCAGCTTCCTCCTGAGGGAACAGATCCTTGTAGTTCATGCCTTATAATTGCTGCTCCAGGCAGAGGGTGCCAGTGCATTAGGATGCTGTCACACTCAGGTGAGCCTGGCCTCTTATTAGAGAAAAAGGATTTTGCTATGGAATATAAGTCAATAAAATAACTCCAATTGTCTTTTTGAATCGGGGAAAATGAAGGCATTAGTTGATGCTTCTTTGGATAGCTAGCACTTCAGAAATTTAGTCATTCAGATATATCATCTTCTAAAAAGGAAAATGTAGTTGTATTAGTAAATTAATTCTCCAGTGTTTATTCTGGTAGGCATGCTGTTTTCAGGTTGAACTTGATATCTTGATTTTGTTAGAATTAAAATCTCTATTACCTTGAGTCCCTTAGTAATATCAACAGGTATGGAACATTGATTTCTATTTCATAGGACTCTAAATTGTTTCTACTTTTTAACATGATTATAAAGGATTATATTAGTAGTAGAATTTTGGTCTTCCATTGGTCACAACAGTTATTTATTTGATGTTGTATTTTTGATCAAGCATGAAATTGTTATAAAATGGTTCCTAAAGAAAAAGATGTGTAACAGTTCTCTTGAGATGCGTTTCCTAGTAATGCATTGTGGTAAAAAGTATAGCTGGCTCTTTTATTGCTAGGTAATTTTGCTTTTTGGTAGAACCACATTTTTGACTCTTTTTTTACATCATCTAAGTATGAAGAATTTTTTATTGTGATTTTACAAAAGACAAAATGCCTTACTTCACTTTCTTGTTCTTACAGTTCATGTCTAACATGCCTCTTATTATTTTTATCCAGTAAGATTGTGCATATTGTTTTTTATAATAACTTAAACTGACTGTTATCAGCGAGGTACTAGAGATTTATCTTTCTTAGTTTTTTTTTTCTTTATAAGATTTTTAAAAAATGGTGTTACCCTTTATGGTGCATGTACCAAGAAAACTGAATAACCTAGATCGAGTTTTTAAAGGAAAAAAACACAAAGTCCACTCTCCATTTTGGAGGACTTCTGTGCTGAAGGAATTGCGAAGCCTGAAAGGGAAGATTTATTCCCCCCTAATATCCATAGATACCCTTTTAAGCCATGTCTGAGTCTTTGCACATAGTTCATCTTTGTCTCTTGGTAAGCCATTCTGTGGCTTTGAAAACCTCATATATGAATTTGGGAAATTTGAAATTGCAACAAAGTGATAACTTTAGATTTTCAGAATGTTTCTCATAATCTTAAAAAACTAGGTCATGGTACTTGAGAAATGTATGGCATTCGATGTGTTAGATTTTAGGAATTTGATGTCTTAGGTATCTGAAATACTAAAACAATATATTTAGCTTGCCTCACTTTCTCTAGAGTTTGGGTTGTTGGCCACACCTTTGGTAGTTTTAACGATTATTTCAAGCAGATATATAGTGTTTTCTGTGGCAGATGTTACTGGATAACAATATACACTTTCTCCACTGTTACAAGTGAAAAACAACAATCATAGTACACCAAGATGAAATGCAGGTATAAGCTCTGGCCATAAAATAATATGAGAAACACTTAGTTCTGTCTGACCATCTCATTTTATCTTGAATTCATCAGCTATAATTAACAGTATAATTTGCTAACTGATGATGATGACTCATATATGTAAGCCTATAAACAATGATAAATTCTAAGCCCGAATTTGATGGCTGTAGTTTGCTGTAATCCAAGTGTTTAATTAAGGCTTTGTGGTAAGTTTATAAAAGCTTATAAAAATGATTCTTGAGTGTCTTTATGCCAGGAATCACATTGGACTATCTAGGAGTGGTATATAGATGCTATATAAGTGCTCTATTTAGTATTGTTGGAGTCATTATGCTCTTCTCCATAATGGATTCGGGCTGTTGTGGAAGGGTTGCTCAACATATTTAAGAATGCACATTGTGTGGGCATAACAAGAAATGGGAGAGATGATGGCTGTGCTCAAAAGAGCTTGCATTCTAGTTGGGGAAAGCTGTTCTCCTCTTTCTCATACTGATTTTTGTTTTTTTTTGAAATGGAGTCTCGCTCTGTCTCCCAGGCTAAAGTGCAGTGGTTCAATCTTGGCTCACTGCAACCTCTGCCTCCTGGATTCAAGCGATTCTCCTGCCTCAGCATCCCAAGTAGCTGGGATTACAGGCACGTGCCACCACACTCAGCTAATTTTTGTATTTTTAGTAGAGATGGGGTTTCACCATGTTGGCCAGGATGGTCTCCATCTCTTGACCTCGTGATCTGCTTGCCTCAGCCTCCCAAAGTACTGGGATTACAGGCGTGAGCCACCGCACCTGGCCCATGGTTGACTTTTTAAGAAATTATTTTTTGCCCTTCATAATCAGAATGCAGTGCTCTTATGTGGCTCCTGGGCACTATCCACTCAGAAGAACTTCTGAAGTATCCTCCATGCCTCAGATATGATGGACCCACCAGATGGAATGGCCAGCTACTTGCCCCCACCACACCTTTCAGACTTCACTCTCTCCTTTTTCCTTTAATGTTGATAACCATCCAACCTGCTATTCTAAACCAATTATCTGCCAAAATCTCTAGTCTGAGCTCCAGATCTATATTTTCACTTAACTGTTGAACATTTCCACCTAAAAGTTTTATCAGTACCTCAAATGCAAGCTCTACACAATGGAATTCTTTATTCCTTTCCCTTTTTGCGTTTTATTGTTAGTTTATGATCTAACCTTCAGATAGTGGACATTTACCAAAAAAAAAAAAAAAAGTATCTGCATTTTGTCTTAGATTTACATCTTCAGAGAAAAAGGAATAATATTTTTCCCTGAAGGTCCTTGTTCTCTAGTTTAGGCATCTTGGTCATTTTATTATGTTTACTTAACATATTTAACAGCATAAATTATGGCTTTGTCCCATCTAAAAGCCTGCAGGTGGATTTGGGCTGTAATGCTGAGTCAGTTAACTTTGCATAGTTCTCAAAGTGAAATAGCAAATCAGAGACAGATCAGCAATAACAAGTTAAGCCTCTGAGGCTTGAATGAATTCTCTGGATAACTGAATCGTAGCTGATTCCTGACAAATGGGAATCATTTATATTTAGGGATAGAATCTCATACTTAAGATCCCTGTTTGGGTGTAGATAAATATCAACATTGATAAATTATATACTACTATTCATATTTAACAGTAAAGGTCCTTACTCAGAATCCTCTTTCAGAGACCATGACCTAGGATAGTGAATGGGATGTAACAGGTATTCAATAACTTTGGGGAAAGTGCTTTCAAGACACTGTCATTCAAAAATAGTCATCTTTCTCTACTAGGGCAAGAGCCATTTATTTGCTCAACTGATGTTGATTGAAAAATATCCTAGTTACCCTTAGCAAGTATGTCTTGTTGCTATTCTTTAGAGCAGCAGAGGCTTGAATCAAAAAATGTTCTATTTGATTCTGAACTGCTAGCCTTTCCTGTGAATCTGTATGCATAATTTATGCTTAATATTGAATGTACCAAAGGAGAGTGACAAAGAAGGTTCTTGCTAAGTGCCTTGTTCAGAAACATGCAATGAGTTATTTCTTCCTCTCCTTCTTTATTAAACAAACAAGAACTCACTTTGGATCAACAAATTTTCTAGGCATTGTAGAGTAAAACAATAAGCAGAAGAGAACATGAAAGATTTGGTTTGAAAATTATTTGAAATTTATTTGAAAATTACTTGAAATGATTCTTAAAATGAAAATATGAGGGAGGCTACATAATTTTATACAGAAGCTGTAGCTCAAAACACACTTGTAGGCCAGGCATGGTGGTTCACGCCTGTAAGCCCAGCACTTTGGGAAGCCGAGGTAGGTGGATCACCTGAGGTCAGGAGTTTGAGACCAGCCTTGCCAACATGGTGAGACCCCATCTCTACTAAAAACACGAAAATTAGCTGGGCATGGTGGTGGGTGCCTGTAATCTCAGCTATTTGAGAGGCTGAGGCAGAAGAATCATTTGAACCCGGGACACGAAGGGTGCAGTGAGCTGAGATCACGCCATTACACTCCAGCCTGGGTAACAAGAGCTATACTGCGTCTCAAAAACAAAACAAAAAAAACTTGTAAAAAATTATTCCCAGTTAACTTAACTGATTTAACCAACCTGCTCACACAATTTTTGGTTTATCAGGATCTTTGCTGTATTTGTTAGTTTGTAATTGCTACTTAGAGAAATTTTTTCTTCAATATTTTCTTAATTAGTTTTTATTAAATTAACTCAAGGGAAGGTAACAACTTTCTTGCTAAGAATAAATAACCTTTTTGGAGCTATTCGCAGAGTTGGCAAAATTTGAGATTATTATAAGAAAATAAAAGACATTGGAGGCTGGGCACGGTGGCTCACACCTGTAATCCCAGCATTGTGGGAAGCCGAGGTGGGCAGATCACAAGCTCAGGAGTTCAAGACCAGCTTGGCCAACATAGTGAAATCCCATCTCTACTAAAAATACAAAACAAGTAGCTGGGCATGGTGGCGGGTGCCTATAGTCCGAG